AATTAAGGCATTCCTTGATCAGGGTCATAATGTGAACCTTGCTCAATCCGAATGTTACAATTTCGGTCTCAATTACAATTCAACGTTACAATTTCCTTGAAGACGACGAGTTGTTCGAAACGTCGACCTAATAAAGCGGTTTCACCATAACAAACCTGTACGGCAAAACAGTGTAAAAACACTCTTGACTTTTTATCCCGATAGCTTCCCTTAGGCTATCGTTGGCGGTCACAGCTTCTTCTTAGGGAAAGATCTCAGAAACCATTTGCTTTTGAAACCAACTGGTCTGGCCGGGCTGGCTTTGGCCACCGGGAGCTCCATCTTACCGGCGTAGTCGGGCCGGGGACAAACGCCACGCTAACGTGCTCATTCCACTTGCCCCACGAGCTTGTTGAGCTTTGCGGCTCCGGTTTCCCACATTAATCCTGGAAGTGTTCTTCAGTCGAACCGAGATGCGTGTTCCGAGTTACACCAAGAGGAGCTGAAAACCCAACGCACAAAACCTGTGACCCCCGCCTTGTCTTCGCTTACTCTTAGTTCCAGCGTCTCAGGAAAAGTTCAACAGTCATGAAACGACCCACACATTAACACAACTCCTGACACACAAATCAGTACGTTTATGATCATGCTGCGGAAAAAAATCAAAATAAGTTGCTAAATTTTCGCGAGCAATGAAAAGAGCAACTAAGAAAATACCATAATGAAAATGACACACACATATACATAAATTATAACAAACCTACAAGTGGATACGGTCCCTACTCACAGGGGCTCATCCGTGTATCCAAATTTGTCCGGCATGCAACTCCATCCTTGGCGGCTGCAAGTCGTGCTCCTTGATGATCCTTGCGCGTAACTTGACTGCGATGTTATAAGCATGGATAGATCGATTGGAAGTAAAAGAGCTGTTATGTAGCAAGCTGAAACTGTTCGGGGACGTTGTCTAATGATGATGTATGATGATGATGATGAGAGACGGAGTAACACGACGACTACGATCGAATGGCGGAGCCGTTCAAGTGGTCGGCAATCCATTACCACGTGGCATTAACTCGCTCCCTGTCGACTACGGTGCCTTCCCGGCGGACCCGTCGCGCGCATAGCCGATGTCCCTCGAACCGAATGGCAGAGAAGGCAAAATAGTTGGAAGTGCAAGCATAATGACTTGATTAATGAAAGAGAAAGCACGTCTCGTTAACACAAGCACAGCAATACTTATGACTCATCGATGCCGCTCACCAAAATGGCCCTACGGAGTAAAGAATGGTGGGGAACTATCGTTTTTCGCTTCTTCGACTAGATCCAGATCGTTGCGCAATGTGGACGAGTTTGCGTAATTTAGAAATGCTCACTCATCCACTGTATCATGTCATAGCAAACTTACGGCAGCTTGTTAACCTCAGAGATCTTCTTCGCAGGCTGGTCTCACCTTGTGCTACAGGCCAACAGCTATCATGCATGCCATCTTTGCTTCCCTCCCTTGTGTTAGGGAGCCTTTAAAGGCAACCTTATTCCACAGCTTCTACGTCCCCTTGCTCCACTCACCTCAAACTTTGAATTTTCCTTTTTATAGTCTTGTGTTCTTCTATCTCTTCGGCTACCGGGTTTCGCGAGCCGCAATGCTGTTAGCATCTATGCCCACCTATTTCATCCGAGATACTGCGGTTGAAGTGGTACAATGCTAGCATGATGTTAGTCTGTAAACAATGTGTAATTACAATAGACTCCGAAAAACTTTCTCAGAGGTGTTATAATACTCTTCTGATACCAGATTGTGCAACGTAGTACTGAAAACTACACTAAGTAAAATCTGAAAGAATAGAAAAAATCGAAGAAAAGCAGTTGTACTCGATGGAATTTTTGAGCTGTGAACGTAAACCTGTAATCGAATAATGTACAAACATGCGACGTAAAACACGCTTTCCCCTGCCTAAACATTTACTTGTGCAGGGGATTCTTCGACTAGTTAGATGTCGGTCGATGACTGACCCTGGCGCCAACACTGTTCAAAGCTTGTTCATTAAGGGGACTGCAGCATTGGTGTTTAGTTGGTTGCAGAGCCTCAGTCATACTCCAGCTAACCCGGAGCTAAATTGGCTCGGCCAAGTGTTCCTTCACTTGACGTCCAATTTTGTTGTATATTACTATCAGGGAGATGCTCAGCAAATCAAGCCAACATACCAAGAATATGTGTGGAAATTCAGTGAGATATTTCAGTACATCCGCGGCGTAGGAGTGAAAAATTATTTGGCGCTTCTGCTCACCGATATTGGACGGTTAGAACTATACGACTTGTTGCAGATCCGTGATCACTACAGGTAGGTGGTTTAGTAATGATTCTCTGAAGAGCATCCGTCCTAGTTGTAGTTGATCATTCTTGTTTCTTCGTTATGTAAGACTGAGGATCGTCACGCCCAACCAATAAGCCATTTCCAATTATGAAGGGAAACTCCATACAAAGAATTTCAGGAGTTCCCGTAACCCTACTATTATAACCTATAGTGTGTGGCAGGACCAGACTCCGCCTGCGCGAAATATTATTTAAGCTGGAATTCATAACAACTGTTTCCGTGGGATTCGAGAGTTCAAAACTGGTAGGAGTAGAGTAGGCAGGATGGGAACACTGACGATAGAAGTACCCTTGAAGAGCAAGAACCACTTGCCATTTGAACCCTAACGTCTTTGTTTTTTACGTCTAACCTTGACTCTTTGATATGTTTCATTTGATTCATTTGACAAGAAGGGTAAGTGATTGTTGCCGATTAAGGGTACTCAATACCCCGCTCACATGGGGGGGGGGGGGGGGGAACAGGCACAGAAATGGACGTTTTAGTGCGGTCAACTCCATAACTTTACTTCAGATTAGCTCCGACACCGGGAAAATGAGCAAAGGTCAGGATTGTACCAGATGAAGTGAAATGGAGGCTTCAGCGGTGGCGGTGGTCTCCATATAAAATCATAGCTCGATCCAATGAAGGCGTGAGGCCACTTTATTGAAAGGAGTGAGCAATGCCTGCTGGGCTCGCGTAGGCTTATGTTAGTCTACGCTCATAGTGGGCGGGGCATGCGTTCAAATGGGAGCTACTTCTTAAAAGCATAGCACTCTGTTGAAGGTGATCTAGAATGCGGGGAAAAGTTCAAGGTAGAAGATGAAGTGTGGTGAAATCCTGGAAGGGCGCAGAGTTTGCAGCATGTGGGCGGGGCCAAGATCAAAAATTCACAACTCTGTTCAGAAACGATTTAGAATGTGGAAAAGTTGTCAGAGGTAATGGAAGCAGCGTAGTCAAACCTCTGAAGTGGGCGGGATTTGCACAGGGTTGGGCGGGGCTAAGATCAAAAGCTCAACTCTTTAGAAGCGTTCTGAAATTTAAAAAAATTTCTAAGAGGCTGCTGAAGGAAGGGCGGTCAAATCACGCGGTGGACGAGGCTTACACAGTGGCGGGCGAAGCTAGAATCAAAAATTCACAAATCTGTACGGTCTTTTTTAACGTGCCAAATTCGTACCATATATGAAGTCATCATCATCACATAGTACCTATGATATCTCCTGATCTACTTATCAACTGACTTACTGGTTCGGAAATCCGTTTCTGTTTATTATCTCTCGTGTTGCCTCTGGGAGCTCTTGAATTGCCTAAGACTTCGGGAAGATCAACAAGCACATGTTAGCTTATGGGAACCCGTTGCTGTGAGACGGAACATTCATCGGAATCGGTGGTGTAATGAGAAAAATTTCATTATTTGGGTTCAAAGAGCTCAGACAGCAGAGAAAATGGGTGAAGGTTAGGAATAGGTGAACTGATCGAACAAAGGAGTTTCACTCATGATCAACCACAGCCTCTAGCCAGGTTCTCGAGGAGTGGAGCTTAAATAAAAAAATCATTTCTGTTGGCGTGTTTAGTATGACAATGTTGCTTTGACATTTCGATATGTTTCATAAAATAGGGGCGGATCGTGGAGCAGATTGACAAAAAATGAGGAGTAATTGCAACGAAAACGAAAGTTAGAAGTCAGTACCACTAAGTTTAAAGGAAATCATGTTTGGTTTCTTCGTTGCTACTGAATTACGACCATTATGGCTCAATGTTTACTATTACTACAAAAAGAGATCACATGTTGTCATTGTTGCTTCTTCAGTAATCTGAGAATCTTCTTCAGTAATCTGAGAATCTCTACCAATGGCTGCTTTCACAGTCCGCCGGCCGGCCGGCGAACTATGAAGCAGCCAATGATTTATGTGAGCGAAGTTGAAGACGGGTTATGGATAAAGGGTTCTGTTAAGCTTTTGTCATTATTGGACAATAATGGTAGAATCTGACTCGGCTGGTTGAGCGGCTCTTTCAGTTGCAGCAAATTCGGTGCGGCGGGGAACGCAGTGAAAGGAATGTATGAATTCCTGATGGACGCTTATTGTTGAGATCGAAACAAAGGGTGAAGATCTTCCAAACGCATGCTCCCCGTGCAGAACTTGTAGATAGCGCGTAGTAAATGGGGAGAACAGGGAGGTGATTCCTCTTCAGGACCTCTCATTTTATCTTTCACGTACGGGATAAGAAGATGTAACCCGGGGACTATATGGCTGTTGACTTATCAAATCGTTGTTTTGAGTGCTCAAGAATGTTGTTTGAGCCGGTGTGTAGGAGCTCGCATTGTCGTGGTGAAGAGTGATCCATATTCGGCAGCTGGTTTTCCAGATTTTTTGGAAGACAACTGGCAAACATATGGTTGTGTGCCACTCAGAATTGACTGTTCTACTTTGTCGTTGTCCAGTTTTCCCAAAAAAACAGGCGACCACCTGCTTGGAAGTGCTTCGTGCGCGGACAGCTTTTGTTGGATTCGGCTTATCTCGAAATACCCATACGGTCGACTGCTGTTTACTTTCGGGCTCACAAGCGTGAACCCATAATCCATCACCTGTCGCGATGTCATAGACGTGTTTCGAAGCACCACGATCGTATTTTTTGGGCATTTCTTTCGACCAATCGACACGAGCCTTTTTTGAGGGGTTGACAATTTTTGTGGAATCCAACGCGAACAAAATTTTTTACATTCAAATGTTTATGCAATATTGAATGTATGCTGGTCCCTTTAATGCCTAAGGTTGTCCCAATCTCACGATAGGTCGCATGACGATCTTGAAATATTAGTTTGCGCACAGCATCTATGTTTTCGGGAGAACAACTGATTTTGGAGACCTCCACGAAAATCGTCTTGGAGTGAACTATGACCTCGGTTGAATTCACCATAACTTCGATAAGCACTGGTCCTTGATGGAGCTTCATCGCCAAGGGGGGAGGGGAGGTTAAGGGGGAAGGAGGTTTGGCTTAAGTGGGTGGTGGGGGCGCCAAGGGCCTTAGTAAATTTTTCAATTTAGTGTAAACAATACAAAGAGCACTAATATGTCAAAACGTTCTGAGTACGTATAATCTCAAAAAGGTCGAACTTTACGATAGATCTGTCGGTTGCCAGATTGCAACACTAGCGTTGCAATATCCCAAAATATAAAAGGCAACTCTCGTATATGATTGTAATTAAAAAATAAGCATGCGCACTCGGTTGCGGAATGACGTTGCTGCATATCTTTGTAGCGTATCATGAACAAGAGGTTTGAGTAACCCGTGTCAAGAGCTCGTTGTTTCGAGAAGTTCAGAGAAATTTGATCATGATTTTTGTTGGTAAGCTTAGTTTTTTACATGTTCAGGAATTGGGATCTCATTTTCTACGTCAATTTCGATCCCCGATTAGAAAAGCAAGTTCGCGATCGGCTCGGTGAATTTTACGGCTCAAAAGTAAATGATGTTGGTAGGTCGCTTTTGTATACTGTCCAGCTCCTGAGATTTCTATAATTATAAGATCGCGCTTGAATAACAAATTTTTTACGATTTTTCTAAGCATTGTTAAATTCATTCCCTGCTCTCGTTGAGCGACTCTGATCAGTTTGCTGTCTAGGACAGCTTCGCAAATGTATCGCGTCTTCCATACTTTGCCCAGTCCTTACACTGAATGTTCACCACACTGGAAGGGTGGTAGGTGGCACTGGGCATTCCAAATGTTGTTTCTGTTGCCATAGTGCCATAGTTTAAGAGGTATTTCCGATTTAATCTTGTCGACGTTAAAGTGTACTGGTAAGCACGTCAAGTTGCAGTAGCAAAATTAACAGATGTCGCAGTAGATGAAATGAGGGGCTTTTGGGCATGGCATTAAGGTTTGCAGCTCTGGTGCATGCATTCCTTTTGCAGTTTTCTAAAATGTTTCTTGAACAGCTCCTTGCCCTTCGGATGGTAAGGGAAAAAGTATAAAGACTTGGGGTTAATCAATCCCGTCTGAGGGATGCGCCCCCGCACTCGACTTCCATTCAAAATTGTAGTGGCGTAACGAGTGCNGCCTATACAATGACTCGGGTGGCCAGCCAATGTACGAGTCAGTGCTTTTATCCTCCCAGACGAGTTTGGTACCAACTCACCGACCCCGGAGGGATGGAAGTCCTGGCTGGCCTAGGCGGGCATCGATCCGGGATTTGTACTCTGACCGTGCGTGTGATATAGTGCACCACTTGCCACTACCCACCTTCCCTATGGAAGGGACTATGAATGATTAATACCACCTGGAGTGTTTTTCGGTAGAAACTGTACTTAAATGGGATAGCAAACTGGCGCTTGCAAAGGGTGTCTCAAAATTATGGAAGTTTTTCCACTGCAGTGCATTTTAAGGACGCATGCTGACAGATACAGGCTGTGCTTCAGTAAAAACCATTCGTGCTATCTTTCGCGATCGCCATTCATAGTTGGCTCACAGTCCGACGACTACGAAAATGCAAGGATTCGTCCAGCTCGCAGCTGCTTCACTTAATCGAAGAACGTATCCTCACTTGCGGAAAGCCTTCCCTTATAACGTGAAAATCCTACGGGAGTCTACCCAACGGTTCTTCTTTTCTATCTTTCTTCTCTTCTCATGATTTGATTGACCCATAGGAATTTGATGTTTCTCATACATTCCACCTGGTCACAAAGGCAAGAACTTCTCATGTCGAAGCTGCGTGGTCCGGCTCGATAATGTGCAAGCCGCTGCTTGGAAGAAGACGCTCATTTCTCTTCGACTAACGCTCAAAATCCTTGACGTGGATGGATGGTCACCCATTTCTCTTGCGCTAGAGCGTAGGGAAATCTGTAGAATCGAACAGATCAGCGCCAAGGTTGGATCAGCCAAGGATTGATGACTACTTTCAGAGGCCCGAAGGCCGCCCACGCTGCTTCCTTCTTGTCATTATCCATGTTCGTGGAGCACACTGTTCATAGAGTGGAAACGTATACAACCTGCTTCGAGTTCTTTGCACGACAGTTTGTGTCTGAATTTGATCTCAGTGCGAAGAGTCGAAGATCTTAGGCACTGTAGGAAGATTGCACCATATCAACAACCAGCGAGCACCACTTCCTGTTCTTTCTAGTCCTCTTTGAAAGGAATCGAACCTGGATGTCGATTTCATCAGTTTACTTTTAGCTAGCGACCGCATGGGTCAAGTGGGTTGAAATCTAGCGGGCAGGGTGACCACTCTGCGATTCTCATGAAGTGTCAGCTCGCGAAGGCACAGCACTTGAACAGCCTCGGTTCTGGAAGCTAGACTGCTGCTCGGCGCTTCCTGAACTGTTCCGGAACGAGAGTGAATCGAATAAGACTTGACGTCATCTAGCAGGCTCTCAGGTACTCATCTTACTCATTTTCCCGGGATTGAGAAACGCACACGTATCAATGGCGGTTGCTTCCTCCCTAACTAATTGCTTTACAATTGCTATAGCATTTTTACGTGAGAGATAGCTTTTTTTTGTTGTTTCTATTTGGAGCGCTGTCATTGTATTTGCTGAATATTGGCTCTACAGTGGAGACTTCCTAGCCATAGGAATCTACGGGAAGGTGCATGTCTCCATTGAAGCGGGACAGCAATCTTCTGCATTGTTTGAAATATTGTTTGCTGGCAACGATCGCATCTTCACTTTCGTTAGAGCTGGCAGAGAGCTTTTCAACGACAATCTTCCTATCGGCGATTTAGACAAGCCGTCTCCGATGCTCAGTCCCATCCTCATGCATAGTCATATCTTGCAAAACACTGGTTTTTCTACTTCTTCCGGGTTTGTCTTTGATCTTGAAGATGTTAGGATGTCTACCGGGTAATATGCAGATTGCAGTCTAATTGTGCTTGAGAAATTGTATTTTGGCGCGCTCCATCTGGGCGCACCGTGGCCGCGCTCCGCTATCGAACTGATGACTTGATTCAGGAATTACTGATGTGTTAACTAATGAGCACTTCAGGAGTTTCTCACAATTTGCAGAGTACCCAATGATGAACTTAAGAAACTAATTACTACGGTAATGAAATGAACATTAGTACTGCAGAGGTATCAACACGGATCAGCTTGAGCCCTCACGGTCCTTCGCAAGCTCCATCAAATTCCGTTGACGGCACTTGGTAGTTATGGTGTAAAATTCGACCGCCATACCGTGAAGCTGTGAGAGTTTTTTGGCCCTTGAAAGTCGTTCTGTAGCGTTCCTATGACTAATCTATGAACTTACTGTTTATGGGCAGAAATGTAAGTTGAAAGTTGTTTGCGCTCTGAAATCACATTTCTGTAACAATTGTTAGAGGCCTCCACGAAATTTTTTGAAAATTTCATCACGAGGTCAGAGAGGAATGACATCTTTGAATTCTGGGGAGCAATCGTGCACGTCCTCATAAATGGCTTTTCTCAATATTTGAGTGGCAACTCTCGAACACTGTCGTTCTACATAGACAGAGGGAAGGCAGAGTAATCAGTCGTTTGAACAGTGACAATGACGCTTTTCCCGAAGATGGTGGCATTGAACTGGTTTGAGAAATAACTGCTACTCAATACCACAGCCACGTGAGATTAGCCTGATTGAGCAGATTCGTTTTAAACCACAGTTTCGTCTTCCAAACCATTAAATTTGGAACAAATCCCTTCGAGAAGGATAGCATTTCTTTCGGCCGTTCCCGATCTGTTCATGGGAGGGTGGGGTTGTATATTGTCAATGGGATGCGTAAAGCCGCTTTCTAACGTGTAGCAGACACTTCATGAAAACGAAAATCGAGCCCATGTTCCAAGGATGCAAACCCCTCGTGAACGCGGTACGATATTTTCTTTCCTAGAATCATTTCGTAGATTCGTGATTCAAATTTGTAGTCAGCGTTCAAAAACACGAGTGTTGGTATACATATCATTTTGAATGGCCTCCGCCACTTATATCCCTCCCTTATAAAATATGCATGAATTAAGCCCTGAGTTGGTCACTACAATCTGTAAGTATATTACTCTGAAATGGCATTTCAGACCAGTGTGAATTGAAAACTATGCCTGATCTTTCGTGGAACATAGTTCGTGTACTCCGGTATGCACATTTTCTCGATATTCTGGCGAAGGAGAGTGAAGAATCTTCTAAAAATAATTCGGTTTCACAAGGACCCTCTTCGATTCAACGATGTATAGAAACAACCGGCTTAACTGCTGAAGGAGACGTTGATCTGAACCGAGATGAGACTCAAGCCAATGCTGGTGATACTCCACCAGCAACAATCTATCATACCACCCAGCAAGCTCCGAGTACTTCACGCGAAGAATCTGTCTCTGAGGATAATAACAACAACTTTCCCGCTGGTGGTATATCTACTAGAGCACGTATACAATCCTCTTCGAGTTGGAACGCATTTGGTCAGTTTGGTAATGAGGAAAAACCGTATATCATTAGAGACGGCGACACCTCTTCCATAAACCACGCCTCCAGTGTGAAGCCCTTCGAAAACTATGGCACTGCTGGCGAATTTCTGGCTTCGTTCAGTGGCCTTGATGATACCAACGATTTTCCTGTTGACTTCTTAGAGGAAGAAAAGAATTTGGTACGGTTTCTTCCGTTACATGAACTTTTTTGTTTGTTTTTAACTTGTTCTTTTCAGGAAATCCCTGACAAAGGTGATGTTAAAATTCAGGAAGAACTTCTGACTGTTGAGGACGGAGACAACGCGGTTCGTTGAACTTCCTCTTTTTAAGAATTCGATCCATTCCCTGCATGGGATTTCACTGATGTTACTGTCATAGTTTTATACGCAACGTAAAGGTGCATGAGAAATAAAGCTGATCCCTCGTCTAGTCAGTACGGATTCCTTCATCAGCACAGCTATTCAAAACATCGCGCCCATGGCAGTCCATATGGACTGCCAACGGTTTGTGCTCCTGGGGCGATTATAGTCCATGGACCACCATTTGATATTTACCGGCGATTTACTCATATCATAATCTTTTTGAATATTTTCGATATAAGTGAATGTTAGGGGTTAGCGTACACCCGATTCCCAATTCCTGTAACACTTTCTTCTCTTAATGAAGCGTTGGTAGCAGCCATAATAGTTTTCCCTCGCGCTTTCCAACGGGCCTGTCGATCAGTTCAAGCGTCCTCTTTTGGCAGCGAGTGGTATCTTTTTTTTCACTGGCTTCCCCTCAACGTCTTCCTCGAACAGTCTTTCTGCAGTGCAATACCCATACAATGGCCATAGAAGTTGGCGATACTAAGTGGAATAAAAAAAGCGCATGTATCACCTGTAAGTTCTGATGTATGGGAACCGCGAGGCCATCTGGTACGTTTCCACATATAACGTGGAACATGGGTGGAATAACATGCACATGTTGTGGTCCTTTATTGTTTTGGAAGCACCTTCTTCGTTTTCGTCTCAATCACACTTGATGTACAAAACGGTGCGCTTGTCGTGCTACTGAGTGACGGTGATCTCATCTTCTGATTGCATAGCTTCGGTCGTACTCTTATGCACTTTCTTTTTTGCGAGTGCAGAAGGGAAACCTCCCCTCGTTTGACTTTCGAGTTAGACCGAATGAGGAATACCAATTGTCACAGAATATACTTCGGCCATAATCCAACAAATCCACTTCGTTTCGCCAAATCATCAATCAAACGCATGACTCAGTTTTCCGCAACACTTCCTTCACTGTCATTAATTTCTTCCAGGTAAATCTTGATTTGTATGTGTATATACCTTCAATTGCAGTTTGAACAATTAGGTTCCAAATTGGTGTTTCTTGTCAGTAGTACTGTGGTTAAACTTCGAACACCCTCGAAATGGTACAATCGACTCATCAACACCTGCATACTTCTTCGGAACAACAAGTGACGTCGATACCTCGTTTGGTCCAACACTGCTCCATGCTTGAGTGGGTCGGTTCTTCCTGTTGTTCGTTGTTGCGGAAGTACAGATTGGACGAGATGGCTTCAAATAGGTCCCCTGTCTTGGTCGGCAAACGTTTCCGGAGTACAATTTCTTTGTTGACCAGTGAGGACGCAATGTTGGCATCTTCACCAGTCTCATATAGAAACACAATGCCAAAAGTCGTAAGCCTTTTTGCTCAGCGGTCTCCCTGAACTTGGCCAACTTGATGAGTCCGATCGATTGATTTCCTGCACAATTGAAGGAAGCAACACCTCATTCGAAATATAATGGAAGAAGTCGATAGGTCTGTTGCAGGTTATGTCATCGACTCCTACATCAACAGATTACTGTTCTAAAGAGAGGAAAACTTCTTCACATCAGACATCAGCTGCTCTTTTAAAAGACGTCTTTCTGGTGCGATTGTTCTCCACGATCAATGACAACGAGCACACCATCGCAATGCACTGCCGACTCTTCCAATTCCTCGTCACTACCGAGCAACTAGGCGTTGAGGCTCTCACCCTCGTAACTTCGTACAGAGAAACGCTTGACAAATCGGAAAGCAAACTTGAGCTCAGCATCCAAAAACACGACCGGCAGTGTAAGTCTCATTTTAAATGGCCACTTCGACTTGGGATCCTTCCCTGGTGAGCCGATATGCAGGATACCAAATACAACAGCAGACTCTCTACACACGATTGGAAGGGGAAACCGAAGGTATAAATCGACGCAATACAGCTGCAAAGAGTCTGTCCCTGAGTTCATTCTCGCCCCTAAGTACACGTGACCTTTGTTCTGTGAGTTGCTCACTTATACGCCATCCAGGGTCCAGGCCGTAGCTCGTCACCAACTGACGAACACGTAGAGGCCAGTTGGATTGCGCACGCTAACGCGTGTAAAACATCGCCTAGAATCCCGTTTTGGTCTGTGAGATCAATAGGCTGCTTTCAGACTTCGATGTCCGTCCGTCCGTCCGCCTTTCCGTCCAACGCGTGCTGCTACGGCGGTCGCGTGCGTGTCGCGTCGACGTCGAAGTCTGAAAGCAGCCATACAGTATCAGTGGACTTCCTATTTCGTAACATGTCCCTCATTCATGTCAACATGCGCCCACGTGACTTGCACAATTCTCATCGTGTCGGTTAATGCGTCCATCGTTCCTAACGTAACGTTCCTGACGCATTAACCGACATACAAGCAGGCACACAAATTTATCCCTTTATGAATAGAGAGATTTAATATGTAGGTAGGTTTGTGAGAAATTACCAGAAAAATTATCAAGATTCAGCGGTACCCGTGATCTTCCATGTGATAATTTGTATATTAGCCTTGGAGGTCCTCCACGCTAGTTATATAAAGCTGGGTTGCCTTTCCTGACATCAACCACAATGTCAATTATACACGATCACCTTCGAGCCATAACATTATATAACTGGTGGCGCGGCGCTGAAGTAACGGCTAACGTTAGTATCGGTGAGGCGCTGACTCATTCGCACTGAAGGAGGAGAGTGACTGGCTCAGTCGATCGGATCCACTCACACTGTGGAAAACTCGGCTATCCTCAGAGCTATCAGAGAGAATCCCGAGATTAGCACCTCAATCTCGCCGACACTTGGATGTACCCAACCAACATTCAGTCACCTAGAGGCTCTTGGCTACAGGAAATTGCGAAATAGATCCCCCTGTACTGTCGAGAGCGCGCCGTTCGTCAGAATATTCATTTGTGAATCTCTTTTCTGCCCGCACAGAAGAATGTTCTGGAAACCCAAAACTGCAGATGAGAGTTGGGTTTTTTCGGGTACTAGCACGCGTCTTGCCGTGTAGCTATCACGGGACCCAGAGGAGAAGACCCACCGGCGCAAGCGAGGTCGGGTCTCAACTCGAAGAAGGAAGTGCCTTTTCAGTTGGTCTTTAGATTCCGAGGGATGTTGTATTACAAGATGCTTGTGCGAAGACACACGGTCACTGGTAACGCTTACGCCATTCAGTTTCAGAAGCTTGCAGACGCTGTTCGAGAAGAACTGCCGAGACGAGCTTACTTCTATCCCCCCCCCC